GAAGATACTGTACGTGCGCCAACGAAATCGTGCGCGACAGAAACAAAGCGCGGGTTTCCTGTTGAGGTAACTTTTCATATCTGCGAAGGTGTGGATTGGGTGAGAAACGCCAGAGTAAAATATTGTACATTTGAAAATGTTTTCTTGCTTTAATTTACTGGTTATTCTAGATCAGTGTTCCCCAACCCGTGGTCCGGGGACCGGCGCCAGTCCGCAAAAGATTTTTCCTGGTCTGTGGGAAATTTTCCGCAGCATGATAAATTTATCAAAAGTAGCAATGAAGTCTGTTATCTTCATCCAAAAATTAGCAAAGACAATGGCGGAGTTGAAATTTTCTGATGAAACATGAAAGTTGGCTTTTTTATCAACTAAGACTTCAGACAAATTTTCGCATGCTGAAATTATTATTTTTTTCATTTTGGGAAACCTTTCTAATTTTTGGATATATAGCTGCTTCATTGGTGTTTAATTTAAATAAAAACAGAAACTTTTAAAATACCTGCCATAAAGTTTTTCAAGCAAAACTTGTTTGAGTCGACTAACAATTGAAAGAACTTAGTTTGTCTGCAGAAAAAAATTTGAGGAATTACCCAGCAGTCCGCAATTTTATTTTTTTTTTATTTGCCGGTCCGCAGTCCCAAAAAGGTTGGAGAACACATGGTCTAGATAAGGGTAGAGGTTGAGACACCAGAAAAAAATTAAGGGGAACAGGAAAAGTGGAAAAGCTGGTTTCATTGTGAGATTATTGTCTCAGAATAATTGTCCGCCTTTTTATTTCCTATGACATGTTTGCCGGGAAGGATAGGTAAAAATGCTGGAGGTGAAATTTCTTTTCACGAATTCCACGCACCCTCTATGATTAGGTCTCAAAAGCAGAACAGTTTTGTCCAGCTATCCCTCAGAAAATAAATTAAAATTGTTGTGCCTTGAACTGGAAAATTTTGTCCAGAGCCCCTTTTACATTCCTATAGAAAACACGTGGCAACTTTTTCTCCGGAATTTTTTGAATTCATGGGTGAATCATGAAAACGAGAGTAGAACAATGAAATTAGACACACTTTAAAATATAATGAAATGAAGTTTTATATATGTTGCTTTTACTGGCATAGTAGCTAGAAATGGCTTGTGCATATATGAATGCAAAATTGGGCACTTCAGGTCCTACGCACGCATAGACTTTTTCAGATTGACGGGTTGCTCGTTTTATCTAAAAAAAAAGTCAAGTATAATTATGTGTAATTCTTATTTTTAACATTTTAAGATTAATTTCCAATAGATACTGATAATCATGATGGAAAAAAGTTTTCTGAAGAATCCTGACTAAATTTTTTTAGTGACGCGTCTTTTTGATCTCCTACGTTTTCCAGACAACCTTGGGTTTTAAAAAAATGGGAGATGCACAAGTTTTTATCCATTGATTATTCATGCGGATCCATCGATAATGATATCATTTGTTTCAAATTGTGGGACACGATGAATCAAATCCACGGTTAGCCGAGGATTTTACCCTGTACGTCTCAAAATTCAGCACCAGTGAACATCAATAATTTGTTCTAAAAAAAAAAAAAACGGAATTCTCGTTCGCTGATTCGCAGTAGCGTCTGCTTGAGCCCTTTCTTTCTGCTGAGTGAATTGCTATCGTCAGTCTCGGTCGGTCGGGCAGCTTTCAGCGAAGAGCTACGAAACTTTGCTGCCTTTGTTGCCTGCAAATATTTCTTGCATACCTTCTTTTTTGCAAGGCATTCGGGCTTTCTTGTGGCAGAGCCAGAGGGGCGGAAAGAGGAGTGAAATACCGCGTGCGAAACGCAAGATGACGTTTCGCGCGGTGCTAATGCGCGTCGTGCATTCCCGACGCCAGCAGATCGCTGGTGTGCTGGTTCGTGTCGGTCTTCGCGTCACGCTGCTCATCGCTGACTAAAAACCCCCACATGCTTTCCTTCCCTCGGCCAAGTAAAGAATAAGTTTGTTCTTGTTATGAAACAAATTGCTCGGATTTCATTTTGTCAAGATTGAGCATGTTTCCTTTTTTTTTTCATTGCTGATATCTGTGCTCTGAAAAATCACAGGGGGCTTTCTGAACCAGTGGAGATAATTTTGAGTTGTTGTATGTAATAACTGGTGCTGCGCAGAGACTCTAACAGGTGGTAGGCAGGCAGTTGCAGAAGAAAAT